CTTCAGTCCAATCCTTATAGTAAGGCAATATAGTATAGTACGGACTCAGACTCATATAAATAGATAGAGATATATAGAGAGAAAGAGATAGAGAAATGAGATGGACAGAGATAAATAGAGAAGGGGGAGGAAGAGAAAGAGAAAAGGAGAGTATATATAATATATGTATATCGATTTTTAGTGTGTCTCCAATGAATGGGTATATACATATACACAATTGAAAGAGAAAGAGAAAGAGAGATAGAAGAAAATAGAAAAAAAGTATTGATGGAAAGAGAATGATGATTTTTCACGAGGGCGAAGCACGCATATCGAACATGACGTGAGACGCGATAACATTCGATCGGTATGGGTGAAATCGAAAGAGATGATTAAGTTGATGGCGAACCGTCGACAGGAGTAAATACGACACAACGTAGAGAAACCAGACATATAAGAAGCCCAAATATTGTACAAATTATAAATGAGGTAGTTAATTAGACCTCTAGAGAGATGCTACACGCCAGCGTGTAGATCGGAGCGACCATAAACTCAAGCGTTTACTCCAACATAGATTTTTTTCCGTCATTTCAAAATCACTTTTTTCATTGTACTAAAATTTTCATAACAATTAATGTTCCATTTAAAAAAAATCCATTATTTTTCGGAATACAGCTAGATTTATGACTTTTTCTATTTTCTACAGAAAATTTTAGAATCTTGGACTTAATAAAAAAATTATATTATATAATATATACGCAAATTTATAGTCACTCCACTGTAAATAGATGCACAGTTGCAGTAGTTTTCATGAGATATAATATCGACACGTCAAACCTAAAACAATTAACATCACACTATGGCTTGAAGTTAATAAGACCAACATATATCTCTTTAGATATGCAAGGTATTCTTTTCTTTTCATATTCAAGTCATAGAATGACTTGTTGATTGTCTCAGTTCCGAAGTGCTCTGGTGTGCTCTGTGGCCTCGTCATTGCGTGTTTAATTGATTGAGATTGCATTTGTAAAGACCGAGATTCGTCAAATCTTCTCTCTAGCAACATTAAAAAGATTTACAAAAGTAATTTGTTTAAATATTTTTTGAATGCCTTTCGTTTCTTCCGGATAATTCCAAAATGTCTTTAGCTCACAATGGCAATATGATTCATTGAAGAACACATTCTTTCTTAGCTTTGTGATCTTTCAAACAATCTGAGAAATTTAGTAGAGAGATCTATAAAAATCAACTCGAAAATCAGAAACATTTTCAGATGTTCGATACTTAATTTGAGAGATTATAATTAAGAAATTTATCGCATTAAACTCGTTTGCAAATTGTCGTCCCAAATGTCATTTCACGAGTAACGAGTGATTGTTATTGGGAATACAAAAAGTGCCGAGATGTAAAAAGAATTTAACGAATCTCGATTCGTTTCCGTTTGCATCCTTTGCATATGTGCGCGTGAACAAGAAATCTTGCTAATTATAAGTGCATGTGAGTACGGCTAAATAAGCATAATGATGCAGCAAAAAAAAAAATAAAATTAAAGGATTAAAATTATATAAAATTATATAAGTAATTATCTATTTTACAAAAATAGTTGCTTATAAAATTGTTAAGTCAAATTATAAAAGATTCCAGTTATTAATATAAGAAATATAATTGTATTTCAATTCAATTTTTAAAGGAGAAAAAAAGCATTTTAATTTGAATCACTTCAA